GCGAGGGTTGCCCCCCCCCCCCCCCGGGCTCCGGCCACAGCCCCTGGGCTGGCGGATCTGGTCTGGGAATTTCAACCTGATAAACAGCCGGAGCGCCGCTGTTGCACCCCGCCAGGCGGATGTGGAGAACCCGTCACCCCCAGCACCGGTGCACTGCTAACCGCTGTTTCACACAGGTCCCTCTCTGAGGAAAGGGAGCTAACTTGATGTTTGTGTCTTCCATTCGGATAACCGTAACAAATGTCTAACTGGCTGATGGTTAACCCCCTCCACGCGCGTTCACCTTGCAAGGGACACGGGATCTGTCTGCAGCTCAGAGTTCCCTGCATGGTGCCATGCGATTCCGAAGAGACAGATGAGCCACGCTCATTCTCAGTGTGAAGCGCCAGGGTACTCCTTGGTAAATAAACACATCAAGCCCCGTTCACGTTTGGCTCTGACCAGACACAAGCGTGAAGGGCCATGTCCACCACACGGTGGGCGCATCCGTGTCCTCTCGTGGCCACATGGTGGCCAGCCCGGCACTGGGCGATGATCAACAGTGAAGGCTGACCTGCCCCTCAGTCGGGAGCCTGTGGCCTCAGAAATGCACTCGATCCTTGGGTCACGGCTCTGGCAAATGCCCATCGTGGCATTCACATGGATAAAAATCAAGAACGGGATGTTTTGGACCATCACTGTATTACACGAGGAAGGACGCAGCATGGGCGAATCCAAGCGTCTCGTGTAACCTGGTCTCAGCTCTACCCAGCTCCTTGGCCATTCCTTAACAGGGTCCTTGGCTGCCTCGAATTGAGCACCATGGCTTGAGCATGATCCGACCTGCAGAGGAGCGGGCTCTGCCTTTGCCTGGACTTTGTCTGTTAGTCATGCAGATGGCAGAGTCACTCCACAGAGCACTATCCACCATTGCCGACAGAGGGGGAGACAGAACCGTGCGAGCCCGCCAGCCCCCAGCTCACCTGAAGTGGAGTGATGGCTTAGTCGCCCACCTCCTGGCGTCTGCTTTGTGCCTGGGAGGGAGTCGGAGCTCAATAAATGTTTGTGACGAGCTTTACTATAGAATAATGGATCGGGACCGAACATGAACAGGACTGCAGCGCAAACATCGTATCGCGTCGAAGGTAGAGGGTGGCCCGTGGGGAACAGGCTGTCCAGGACCGCGGACAGCCGGGCAGTCGCTCACAGTCTCCACACGGACTCAGGCAACCTCCCCAGTGAGCACGTGACCTGCTCACACTGAACTTGGGGCCAGGAATCAGCAGGTAGTAGCTTAGACACCATCCAGAAAATGCACGTGTAGACACAGAGTCTAGGCAGAGGGCTTAAACTTCCAGACTACATGCCCGGGATGAAGAGACTAACCTACAGAAAGAGAGAGAAATGAACAACGATGAACATTAATCCAGAAAATAGCATAGATAATAGAATTATGATCCGACACGTTAGCAATCACAATACATGAAAATCAAATTTATTAACGTAGAGATTTTGAGATCAGATTACCTACAAATTACTATATTTATCAAAGACAAGTGTAAAGCACATTGACACAGAAAAGTTAGCATAAAAGAATGTGGAATAAGAACAGGTAAACATTAAGCAAAATAACACTTTGATAGAGATTAATATAAGATAGGATTGAGAGGGAAGAACCACGCTAATAGTCACTGCTAAAAGAAGCAGTGGACTCAGAAGACATACACTCGTAAGTATGAGTGTTAGAAGTATAGCCTCGAACTTTGAAGACAGAGTCCTAACAAAATAACAATGGATACTGGAAGGCTCATAATTCCTTAGGACATCTCCACATACTTCTCTCTAGAAACACATAGAATACCAGTAGGAATGTAAATTTAGACATCGCAATTAACAATCTTGATTTAACAGATACACGTATGCTTTCACTCAACAAATAGAGAATACACATTCTTTTACATACAGGAGTTGTTGAGTTATTCCTACATGAGTTGTTTCAGAAAGCAATCACAAACACCAATAAAACAAGTCTAAACGAGTCCCACGTATCAATATCAGAATCAAGTTGAGAATAATCAAGTAGAGTCTTACAAGGTGAAGCCAAAGGGTTTTTTGTTTTGTTTTTTTTGTTTTTGTTTTTGTTTTTGTTTTTTTGAGAGGTTTTTGCTAGAGGGCGCGACTGCTCGCCAGACAGACAGAGAGAGACATAGAGACAGAAAGCGAGAAATCACCCGCCGGGGGGGATGGCCACGCCGCAATCCCTTCTCCTCCATTCTCCTCTTGGGATCTTGGGCACACACACACATGTGCCCGGCGTGAGTTTTAAGTCACCGGGTCTGGGACGCGAACCGCGATCGACTACGTAGGAGTCCAGTGACATAGCCATTACGCTAACTGCTGGTTCCCCAAAGGGGGTTTTTAGCAGAGACACCATCTTGGCTTTCTTAAGTTTTAAGATTCACTGTGGCTGCAGTATTGAAAAGACATGCAATGAAACTAGATTTGGTCTAAAGAATCTGGAAACAAAATTAGAAAAGCTGGCTGTGAATGAAATAGTCGCTTCACAGCAATTACATACAAAAGTACGTAAGTTCTATGAAATTACATAGAAACGTACAAGTTGTAGCAGAAAATCACAGACCTGTTCTAGAGTTAATGCGTGAACAAGAAGGAAATGTGCAGGTCTTCTGAACTCTTTTCTAGTTTAGGAAAACAAACTTGAGAGCATTGGAAGAAAGCCAAGAAACTACACAATTGCCACAACCCTGGTGAGTCAGAGGACCTGGCGTTTCCCTCGCCCTCTCTCATGGTCTTGGAACGATGGCTACACAATATCAGGCTCTTGAGGTTTGTGGTATCACAATGGCTTCAAAAGAAAAAAATGACTCACTGTTTACTTGCCAACACCGAGTCAATTTATCAAAGAAGGGTCACGTAACAAGGCTATTTATCATCTTTCACCATGTAGAATGCTCATAGCCCATGTTCTCCCAAGGAAACAGTAAAATCTATCATCTTCTAGATAAAGATTTACGTGAAGCGGGAGTAGCTATGGGAGGGTGAGTGAAAAAGAACATACCTCTGCTAAGCTTTCTGTGAAAGACGGGAGCAGGGTGTCGCCAAGCCTGGCCACCTAACGGCTGCCCTGCGCGCCCAAACGTTCAAGTTTCTCATTCTGAAACCTCCAGCCTTCCTTTTCTGTCCCTGCGGGAGCTGCCCTGTGTGTTGGAGTTGGCAAAGCTTAAAGTCACCTAGACTTGCACCACAACTTGTAAACAATTAAGGAGAGTACTTATGGAAATTCTTAACTATCTTTTTTGTTTCTTCTTTGTCCCCAACAGAAGGTCAATATACAGGTAGTTATGGTATACATTTTTAAAAAGTTTCTGATTCTAAGTTATTTTTTCTGTTATCTATATGAAGCCCGTTCAAGGGAATATCCTAACTCAACATTTGTCAACTTTCCTTGAGGAGTTCTTCAGAAGGAAAATGTTTCTTCTGTTCCATAGGCAGTTGATATAATTGGGGCTTTTCGATCTTTCCTTAACTGTCCCATACCATAGTACTTGAGGGTAAAGCACTACTGCCAAATTAAGGATTATATTCTCCTTAAGCTCTTACGTCGGCAACTGGAAAATAGCCATCGCGGGGCTGCGAGCACTAGCTGCTGACTAGCATGCCTGTGAGGAGGAGAGCCAGGCTGGAGCTGCCCACAGTGAAAGAAACATCTGGATGTTTGCCAGATTTTTCTGTTTCGCAAAGTCTGTTATACTTAGAAAGTTCCAAATGGTGGCGGCACATGTGAAATGAAATTAGACTTGGGGAAATCTGAGAGGAGACAGGGAAAATCAGAATGCTCTCTGCAGCCCCAGCTGGATCGGGACTTCCCCATTACGAGGCACCGATGGCGTCTTCTCGGACTGTGGCACCTGAACTGGGTACCTCTCTTAGGGATTAATGAACTTAACCTACTGAACTTAAAAATATTTTAAGGCCAAGTGTTTGTAACTGAAGAGTTTATAAAAAGTTTATAAAATTCATAAAATAATAACCTGAAGGCCAAAAATGCCTTAGAAAAATAACACAAAATACAAATTGTTTTCAGGTGAATTTTAACTAGAGTAGAATAGTGCTTTTAAAGACATAAAAAGTGCATGTACTTAACATATCACCACTCTTTTATATGTTTATATACCAAAAGAGTGCTCAAATTATATGAGTGTGTTCATGTCAATGTCTACAAAACATGAAGCACCAGGCTAAAGGTGTACGCAGTGGGAAGATGAGTGCATCGCCCTCATCTTCCTCAGAAACACCACAATTATCAAAGTTGTGCACATGTGCAAATGTCGAACGTGAGGACCGCCAAGCTTGCCGCACATGAGGGAGAAGCCATGTCTTCATCGCCGTTCACAAGCAGTAGAGGAGTGCCTCGTTAGTGCTGCCCTCCCGGTACGACGGACCGACTAAGACGGTGATGAACAGAGACATGCTGCCTGTGCTTGCTCGGTGACACGGAGTGCAGTCAGCAACCCCCGCGGGACGGAGTAAGGGCAAGGCTGGAAGGGAGCCTAGTGTCTCGGGGTGAAGGTCTACGGAGCTGGCGGAACACTGCCTGCTTCGAGAAAACACGTCCTAGGGATCAGCCGTTCACAACGTACTCCTATGAAATCACATTTATGAAAATGCTATCATATAAATTATGGTGCCCTTCTTTTTAAATTTTATTTATTTGTTTATTTGAGAGAGAGAGAGAGATTTTTGCTATAGGGCAAGCGAGTGCACTCACGGGAAGACGGAGAGCGCAGCAGAGACAGAAAGCGAGAAATCATCGCTGGGAGGGATGACCGTGCTCAGTCCTTCTCTTCTCCAGGTTTTCGGTATGCATGCACACGTGCCCGGTGTGATTTTGAAGCCGCCAGGTCCGGGACTTGAACTGCAGTCAGTCATGTGGGAGTCCAGAGACGTAACCGCTATGCCAATTGCTGGTCCCAAGTTATGGCGCTTCTCTTAACATACAGCATGCAAAATCATTTTACCCTAAGGCGTGCACACAGGTTCATTTACATGTGTGTGAGGGGCTTCACAAACTCCGTGGAAAATGGAATTAAATATGAATTAATGAATTAATCATCTTAAAATGTACACACAGTTTTCACAATAGGCACTTTCCGTGACCTTATTGAAGATACCGTGTGTGCTCATTTCTAGTCTCATCTTTTCTGATCTCCCCTAAAACAGTGCTTGACCACACTCAGTACCTAGAGCCTGTCATTCCCGATGCCGTGGAGCGGCCGCTGGTCTCTGACCAGAGCACATGCACCTGTCGGCTCACACCGAATACATTTAAAATGAAGATTTGAAGAAACTGGGGAGAGGGGCTGGCAGGTGGCGTGGTGGTTAAGGGCTGGATTCCCACAAGGCCAACTGTGGTTCAAGTCCCAGACCTGGCGGCTTGAAAATCATGCCAGGCGCACATGTATGCATACCCAAAATCATGAGAGGAGAATGTAGGAGAAGGCACTATGGCAGGGCCGTGCTCCTGGGGGGTGATTCTCATGTTCCCTCTCTCTCTCCCTCTCCCTCCCTCCCTCTGTCTCTGGCGCACACACACGCCCTGTGGGAAAACCCTAAAGAAAAGAAAGCAGGGCACTGTGGCCTGAGCACACCCACCCTGCGCTTCACCGCAGCCTCCGCGGGCAGCTCGGTCCTGGGCAGGCAGGTCACAGCGTCTCCAACAGCTCCCACTGCCCAGGGCTCATGAGCAGGCTCCGGAAACAGAGCTCCCCTTCGGATGGACATTTACACAAGGGAGTGCAGAAAGCTGCTCTCCGCATGCAGAAACGCTGCTGTCACCTCACCTCAGTCTCACTGCGATGCCCCTGCCGTCCCACTGCCAGACACACGCGCTTGTCTGCTGTGCCACATCGCCTGTGCTCAACCAGCTGCACGCCTCTTACCTGGTTGTTTTAAGATAGAATCTTTTCTGTTAAAGACCTCGATGGGCCTCACCAAGATGGCCAAGAGAACCGCTGTCGGGTGCAGCCACACTGTCAGGCTTTCAAGATAATCGCACAAGGTTCTCATTCTGAAACCTCCAGCCTTCCTTTTCTGTCCCTGCGGGAGCTGCCCTGTGTGTTGGAGTTGGCAAAGCTTAAAGTCACCTAGACTTGCACCACAACTTGTAAACAATTAAGGAGAGTACTTATGGAAATTCTTAACTATCTTTTTTGTTTCTTCTTTGTCCCCAACAGAAGGTCAATATACAGGTAGTTATGGTATACATTTTTAAAAAGTTTCTGATTCTAAGTTATTTTTTCTGTTATCTATATGAAGCCCGTTCAAGGGAATATCCTAACTCAACATTTGTCAACTTTCCTTGAGGAGTTCTTCAGAAGGAAAATGTTTCTTCTGTTCCATAGGCAGTTGATATAATTGGGGCTTTTCGATCTTTCCTTAACTGTCCCATACCATAGTACTTGAGGGTAAAGCACTACTGCCAAATTAAGGATTATATTCTCCTTAAGCTCTTACGTCGGCAACTGGAAAATAGCCATCGCGGGGCTGCGAGCACTAGCTGCTGACTAGCATGCCTGTGAGGAGGAGAGCCAGGCTGGAGCTGCCCACAGTGAAAGAAACATCTGGATGTTTGCCAGATTTTTCTGTTTCGCAAAGTCTGTTATACTTAGAAAGTTCCAAATGGTGGCGGCACATGTGAAATGAAATTAGACTTGGGGAAATCTGAGAGGAGACAGGGAAAATCAGAATGCTCTCTGCAGCCCCAGCTGGATCGGGACTTCCCCATTACGAGGCACCGATGGCGTCTTCTCGGACTGTGGCACCTGAACTGGGTACCTCTCTTAGGGATTAATGAACTTAACCTACTGAACTTAAAAATATTTTAAGGCCAAGTGTTTGTAACTGAAGAGTTTATAAAAAGTTTATAAAATTCATAAAATAATAACCTGAAGGCCAAAAATGCCTTAGAAAAATAACACAAAATACAAATTGTTTTCAGGTGAATTTTAACTAGAGTAGAATAGTGCTTTTAAAGACATAAAAAGTGCATGTACTTAACATATCACCACTCTTTTATATGTTTATATACCAAAAGAGTGCTCAAATTATATGAGTGTGTTCATGTCAATGTCTACAAAACATGAAGCACCAGGCTAAAGGTGTACGCAGTGGGAAGATGAGTGCATCGCCCTCATCTTCCTCAGAAACACCACAATTATCAAAGTTGTGCACATGTGCAAATGTCGAACGTGAGGACCGCCAAGCTTGCCGCACATGAGGGAGAAGCCATGTCTTCATCGCCGTTCACAAGCAGTAGAGGAGTGCCTCGTTAGTGCTGCCCTCCCGGTACGACGGACCGACTAAGACGGTGATGAACAGAGACATGCTGCCTGTGCTTGCTCGGTGACACGGAGTGCAGTCAGCAACCCCCGCGGGACGGAGTAAGGGCAAGGCTGGAAGGGAGCCTAGTGTCTCGGGGTGAAGGTCTACGGAGCTGGCGGAACACTGCCTGCTTCGAGAAAACACGTCCTAGGGATCAGCCGTTCACAACGTACTCCTATGAAATCACATTTATGAAAATGCTATCATATAAATTATGGTGCCCTTCTTTTTAAATTTTATTTATTTGTTTATTTGAGAGAGAGAGAGAGATTTTTGCTATAGGGCAAGCGAGTGCACTCACGGGAAGACGGAGAGCGCAGCAGAGACAGAAAGCGAGAAATCATCGCTGGGAGGGATGACCGTGCTCAGTCCTTCTCTTCTCCAGGTTTTCGGTATGCATGCACACGTGCCCGGTGTGATTTTGAAGCCGCCAGGTCCGGGACTTGAACTGCAGTCAGTCATGTGGGAGTCCAGAGACGTAACCGCTATGCCAATTGCTGGTCCCAAGTTATGGCGCTTCTCTTAACATACAGCCTGCAAAATCATTTTACCCTAAGGCGTGCACACAGGTTCATTTACATGTGTGTGAGGGGCTTCACAAACTCCGTGGAAAATGGAATTAAATATGAATTAATGAATTAATCATCTTAAAATGTACACACAGTTTTCACAATAGGCACTTTCCGTGACCTTATTGAAGATACCGTGTGTGCTCATTTCTAGTCTCATCTTTTCTGATCTCCCCTAAAACAGTGCTTGACCACACTCAGTACCTAGAGCCTGTCATTCCCGATGCCGTGGAGCGGCCGCTGGTCTCTGACCAGAGCACATGCACCTGTCGGCTCACACCGAATACATTTAAAATGAAGATTTGAAGAAACTGGGGAGAGGGGCTGGCAGGTGGCGTGGTGGTTAAGGGCTGGATTCCCACAAGGCCAACTGTGGTTCAAGTCCCAGACCTGGCGGCTTGAAAATCATGCCAGGCGCACATGTATGCATACCCAAAATCATGAGAGGAGAATGTAGGAGAAGGCACTATGGCAGGGCCGTGCTCCTGGGGGGTGATTCTCATGTTCCCTCTCTCTCTCCCTCTCCCTCCCTCCCTCTGTCTCTGGCGCACACACACGCCCTGTGGGAAAACCCTAAAGAAAAGAAAGCAGGGCACTGTGGCCTGAGCACACCCACCCTGCGCTTCACCGCAGCCTCCGCGGGCAGCTCGGTCCTGGGCAGGCAGGTCACAGCGTCTCCAACAGCTCCCACTGCCCAGGGCTCATGAGCAGGCTCCGGAAACAGAGCTCCCCTTCGGATGGACATTTACACAAGGGAGTGCAGAAAGCTGCTCTCCGCATGCAGAAACGCTGCTGTCACCTCACCTCAGTCTCACTGCGATGCCCCTGCCGTCCCACTGCCAGACACACGCGCTTGTCTGCTGTGCCACATCGCCTGTGCTCAACCAGCTGCACGCCTCTTACCTGGTTGTTTTAAGATAGAATCTTTTCTGTTAAAGACCTCGATGGGCCTCACCAAGATGGCCAAGAGAACCGCTGTCGGGTGCAGCCACACTGTCAGGCTTTCAAGATACTCGCAGTGAAGACTTTCTACAAAGCATTTATAATGACTCTTTTTAAATGTTTATCAACTTTATTTATCCATGAGTGAGAGAGAAAGAGACAGACCTCCCCTAGAACCTGACACTGGGACGCTCTTGCGGCCCTTGGCCAGCCCTGCTCGTGGGCCAGCGGGAGCTCGCTGTAGCCAGCAGGATCTCAGCCGTGAGCCAGAAACCTGTGTGGGACTGCCATGCAGAGCACCGAGTCTGACCCCCGCACCACCACCAGACCCCTCTTAAGACTTCCAGTCATTAAAATGCCCCCACGTTCCTGTGCCCAGTGAAATCCTACTGGCTCCTTAGAGAAGAAGTCAGGGTTCCCGTGACTGAGTCTGGGGCAGTGAAGGGAGGACAGGTCGCCGGTTGGGGCAGGGGAGCAGGGCACCGGAGCAGAGCAGGCATGAACCCATCTCTCTCTGCAGTCGCGTAAGGCGTCAGAGGCCTCCCATCCATCACCAAAGTGACTCTGGCCAAGTGTCTTCCGTCTGTCTCCCCACTTCCCCTCTCCTCCCCAGGGATCTGCCCACGCGCTCCTAGACTAGCATACCAACGACTCTCTCCAGACTTCTGAATCTGGGGCTTTCTTGCCTAGCACCGCTAAATGCAATGCAAGGCAGAAGGCACGCCTGTTTCCGGTCAGAAGCGTCGGCCGAGCTCTGGACCACTGGCTACGGATGGAGCAGGAGCCTGCGCTCGCACTGGACAAGCCGCTGCAGGGATGCAAGGGCGAGGCAGCCAGGGTGCGAGGGCAAGGCAGGGATCCAGGGCTGGGCCCTGCTGCAGGGAGCCGTCCTCTCACAGCAGGGTCCGAAGCACAGCCAGGGACCGCGCCGTTCGTCCCTGACAGCAGCCTCGCGCAGCAGCCCTCCCCACAGGGCGCGGTGCTTGCTCGTGGCTTTTACCAGCTCACCCTAAGCTGCCCAGGCTTGTGCTGACCTTGTGACCACTTACATGCCACACTGGCGTGTGCCGTGAATCAGACGTCACATGATTGCTGTCAAACCACAGGGCAGAGTCAAGCTCAAGCCTTTTCCCGTAAGTTAAAATAAAATTAGAAACTTGACCATAACAAGTCAC